ATTTCCTGTTTACCTATTTCTGTATTAAATTTAATGTTTGTTTTCATCTATTCTACTGCTGAACTTTTATTTGCTGTACTTGTGATACATTTATATTTTCTTTCAGTGAGCTTGTGTTGAATTTTAGCTATAGTGGCATGAGTCACATTGATTGTAGTTGGGGAACCAGTGAGAAATAATTTTTTCACTGAAAACTAGTGGAAAGGTCTGCTTGATTGGTTAAATCAACATCATTGGCCTCACTAACCTTTTAGTAAGGACTAGTAAGATGCACGTGCTACACAACGGAATCACAAAAAACCAGGTAGAGCATTATTTACTTAAAAGAATTATAGTAAGAGCAAATACATTGCTACAGAAAAATAAAAGAATGTACCGAGCCAAACGATTTCTTCTCCATATTCACCTTGCAGGAAGACTTCTCGTACTTTATTATTCCTCGCTCTATCCTATAGTGAGGGGGCATAGAGCATGCCACAATAGAAAATCCTTCCATCCACGCATCTGGCAATTATAATGCCACTCCAAGTCAGTCTGTCTTCAGCAGCTCTTCGCTATTGTAACCATTAGTAAATTTTGGGGTTCCCAAAACATTTTACCACAAAATTATGGCATGCATGGTATTGAAGTCAATTGCACAAGTAGGCATTGCCTAACAAAGATGAAGCAAGAGTTGATGAGATGTAGAGACATTCTTACTCTTCATCAACACCCATTCCTTGGTATCTGACAAAGCAGACCAGGTGTCGAAGGGCATCAAAATATTCACCCAATCACCCTAGAATGCTTAGGGTGCGTTGGAACAGCTTAGTCTTGTGCATAAGCCAACTGCCTACATAAGCTCTAGATAAGCCATGGCGAGAATAAACTGGGAGTACTTTAGCTATATGTTTGGAATGGCTTATGAGTTTTGACTTTATTGCCCTTGATTGAAATTTAGAAGATGCGTAGTCTAAATACTCCTGAATTTTCTGTTACCATCATACCAAATGTTGCATCACGCTACAGAATACTTGTCTATTTTTGAACTTTAACAATATTGTTTGAATAAACACTTAGAAAAAAATAACTCAATTTGTCACACTCCGCGACCCATGACCTGAGTAGTAACCACAATCCACAGCCCATGACCATCGAAATAAGCTTTATGTAGCAAGAGTTCTGTGTGCAATAAGTTGAATAAATCATATTTCTTACCAGCTTGCTAGTAAAGCATGTGGAAATCCTAATTTTGAACTGTATAATTAGTGAACATTGGCACTAACTGGCACTTCCATACACAAACAAATGCAATCAGGTTGGCTTGAGAAGTCTGCTACGGAAGAAGCACAAACAAATACTTGTATCATGGAACACAAATTTGTTGTCTTTTAAGGCATAATAAACTGCTAATTGCACATCGTCTACTGTTTTGGTAATTGCTGCTCATGTATACACATAGGAGGTGTTTGGTTCAAGGAACTTAACACAAACGCAAACACAATCGAGTTATACAGTTACTGTAAAGGGGAATGAAAAAAAAACAGAATTTGTTTGGTTACTCTAATGAACTGTAATAACGCAATCAGCCGTATGACCAGGCCCACCGTCCATTCCCATCGGTGACATCAGGGCCTTTGACGCCGCCGACCCGAGCTCCCCAGCCAGCACGTCAACCACCTCGTCTCCAAGCTCCTCGCCATCCCCTCCCTCGGCCTCGGCGTCCCAGCCTCTATCCTCGAGCGCAGCCTCTGCCTTGCCACCGCAGATGAGAATTCTGACCTCAACCAGCAAGATGACGTGCTGCTGAAACCTGCTGTGAACTGATTACGTTACAAAGTTCTGAAACAAACGCCTCCATAATGCAGAGAATAAAGCTGCTCTCTGTAGTTGCTTCTTAATACACACATATTTAGAGAGAAATAATGAAGTGTTCTATCTCAGCTCAGCAGAAACACACTAAACTGGATGAAGATAATACCTGGAGGGAAGTTGGCGACCATGTTGTTAATCCGGCCACATAAGTGACTACCTAATCAGAGCATTGGCGGTGGCCTGTAGGCGAGCTAGGGGCAGCGGTGCGACGAGCTGATGCTTGTATTGGGGCCCACTACACCTGATCCACGAGCTGTGCATCCCCAATTCCCCATACACGGCGGCCAGGCTAGGTGTTGATCACCTCGCGTGCAACAGCGCTGGCGGCCTGTAGACGAGCTCGAGGCAGCTGCCAAATGAGCTCACCCTGGAATTGGGGCGATTTCCATCAGATCTGGGAGCTTGGCACCCTCGTATGGGGAAGGCAGAAAAATAGAGCATCTTGTCTGTAGGTTCTGCGGCTTGCTCGGAATGACGGAGGTAGGCTTTGCATAGGGGAGCTAGGGGTGCAGGCGCCGAAGAACGGGAGCGTTGTGGCCAGCGCCGGGATGCGGGCGGCGGCTAGATGGAGGGGACATCGGTGCACAGGGCAGGTGGCCGGTGTTAGGGGCCGGCGACGGGGAAGGTTCTAGGTGTTGATGGATACAAAGTCGTAGGCCTAGAGGAGGTGGGCGGCTTGAGTTGGGAAGGGAAAGGTCAAGGAGTTCTGTGAAAATCTGGACGAAGTGGCGGGGGTGTTTCTGAAAAAGTGTCACGTCTTTCCTTTGCATGCGTTAGATGGAAATCTGACGGTCCGAAATCATAGATGGCAGGCACACCATCATCACCAACTGAGATTTTTATATTAGTGTATATATTCTACAATGTTTCATTCTGCTTAGTAACTGCACATGTTTGCATCTATTCGCGTGATTGGCTTACAGAGGTTATCGAGTAACATAATGAAACCATTTAATATGAATTCTCATCTTATGGCATGCCACTTTCATTCATGCGTATTTGGACACATACAGCCATTTGACATTATACTGTGGCTAATTTCATTATATTTCTGAGCCTAGCCTAGTGACCTATTATGCATTTATTTTTTGTTTCGTTGGACATACTGACATATAGTGGGTGTGTTGTATATTTCAGGCACAAGAGTTGGTAAGTGGGCTGCTTGGTATGTTTCGAGACAGTGTGTTCCCTGTTTTACTTCAAGCTGCAGTTCATGTGAGAGAAAAGAAGGTCCCGAAAGCTGAAGAAGTTCTAAGTCGGTATGCTGAGAAGCATCCTGATAATTCTAAAGGAGTCCTCCTTGCACTTGCCCAGATTGCTGCCAATGCCAACCATTTTCAGATTGCTGCTGATTCACTATCAAAGATATCTGACATCCAGCACATGCCTGCTACGGTTGCTACACTGGTAGCTCTAAAAGAGCGTCTAAATGACTCTAACGGTGCTGCTTCTGTGCTTGATTCTGCTATCAAGTGGTGGAAAAACGCCATGACTGAAGATAACAAGTTGGATATGTTCATGCGGGAGGCTGCAACATTTAAGCTCAACCATGGGCGTGATGAAGAGGCCTGTCAGCTGTACGAGGAACTTGTGAAGAGCTATGGAAGCACCGAAGCGTTGGCTGGGCTAGTAGCAACGTCTGCACGCACTGACCTTGCAAAAGCTGAGCAATATGAGAAGCAGCTGAAACCGTTGCCGGGTCTTCAGGGAATTGACGTAAAGAGCCTGGAGAAGACATCTGGTGCAAGGCATGTAGAGCAAGCCATGAAGGTTGATGCTCCCGAGGAAGTGAAGAAGCAAAAGGCTAAGAAGAGGAAGAGGAAGCCTAAATATCCGAAAGGATATGATCCAGCGAACCCAGGGCCACCCCCAGATCCTGAGAGATGGCTGCCCAAGAGGGAGAGGTCGACTTACCGTCCGAAGAGGAAGGACAAGAGGGCTCAGGTCAGAGGTGCTCAGGGTGCTGTGAGTAGAGAGAAGCATGATGGATCTGCTGCCAATGCCGGTGCCACCTCTTCGAAACCCACCACCTCGGCCAAGGCTCCAGAACCACCGAAGGGCTCCAACAAGTCCCGGAAGAAAAAGTCGAGGTCTTAGGCGACAAAGTTGTTATGTCACAAATTAACAGTATACAAAGGACACTGTCCATTTTAGTATCTTGACTTGGAATTTTTGTGTTATCTGCATTGGATTGCCCTGCGCTGTGCTTTTAGAATCATGTTTATGGTGACTTGAGATTCTAGACCGTTGCAATTTTTGTTCAGGCTGTCTGTGACTTGTCTGGTTGAAATTCCATTCTTTACATGCTATAACAACTTCCTTTGCAATTTTATGGGCGCTCCCTCCTCCGCTCGGCATTGATCTAGTGGCAGAGGCACAATGCTCTCTCCGATCTGGCCCCTACCTCAGTCCGTCGCTGTTGGGGTTCTAGCTACTCCTGCACCGACGGGAGACTCGGCCTCACGTGCTCTGGCCGTTTTGGTTCTTCTCCATGGTGGCCGTGCCCATCGTGATCTGACATGGTTGTCCACGGTCGTGACCTTTTTGTGTTTGCTTGTGAGAGGAGGATAGCTGATGTTGCCGCTGTCGTACAGTATGCAAGGTTAGCTTTGCAGCTGTAGTATATTTTTTCCTAGAAAAAAACTACCAATATTGTTTGTACCACCATATGGTAACTATTTCGTTTTTGCTATATAAATAAACAAGATCAAAGACAAAACATCAAAGGTCGTTCAAGTAGCTAATTCCTCTAAATAGGAGGCTTTGAGAACAAAGAAATTATTGGAGCTATCGTTTTCCTCTAGCATTAATAGAATTCATTGGTGTTAAGAAAAACCTCGATATAACTCAAACAACAACGTGTTTAAACACGGGCGCGGCGTGCCGCCATACCTTCTGCCTGCTAGTAAGAAACAAGGGTACTCAAGATACAACACTCATCAGCAGGGTACTCAAGATACAACACTCATCAGCTGCAAGCAGCATTTCTAGACTACTGCTGCGACACGAGTGCTACCAACAGCTACAGGCTACAGCTACAAATTTACATTTATCATCATGCAGTTAAAACGCATACGTTATTCTAGCATATATGCACACCATATTTGCCAAGCTATTACTAGAATTGATCGGTTCGCGTGTTGCAACTAGTCCCTATTGTCATTCAGCAGGGAGTTGACATCCGGGGTCACCACGACATGCTGCCTCTCGATCTCCCCAAGCTGGCAGCAATGTTTCCTTCTAGTGTTCACCGCTACTGCGTGCTGCTGCATCCCGCATTCCGTGCCCGGGCTCACCTGCGACGGAAGAACCTAAACAGTAAACACCACACATATCGATATCGTGCTAGATCGTGAAGAGAACATATCGCCAAAGGCATGAGCTAACATCGAACACGGCATCTCCAAGCTTCATCTTGACCTTGCCGCTCTTGTACACCAGCATCTTGCCCATGTACCCCTCTGGCAGATCATTCAGGTTGTACCCTTCTTTCACCTCCTTGACAATGGCCCTTCCATTCCTATGAACTATAGTGGATGGTGTTCTGAGCAGAGGAAGAGATTTCGGCAACTGAAACAAGAACATCCTTGTCTTGTCGTCGTGTTCCTGTCATTCCAAATTTGTGAACGAGTTATATACGTGCCTGACAGTATCAAGGTAATTGGTGTAGGGTTCAGAGAAGACTACGAGCAGATTGAGCTCTTTCGCTGGATGGATGGAAGATTCACATTCGGTTGAGCTTGGGAGAGACTCCGGTAACTCAACATCATTATCATCTTCTCGAACAACATTATCATCATCTTCGTCCTCGTCCTTGTCATCTTCATCACCGTAGAACCTTTCTGTCAACAAATGAACATTCCCATGATTATTCCTAGTGGAATGTTTTGGTCAAGCGTTTGGAACGAATGAACCGAAGTCTCAAATTCACCTGGATTGGCAGGGAAGGCCCTAGGGATTTGAAGTGCCTTCTTTTGCCAAGGCAAGTACAGACCAAAGTACAAACATAAGTCATGTGCCTCTCATGACAAGGGAGCTGTATACTACTCCCTCCATCCCAAAATAAGTGTCTCAACTTTGTACTAGCTCTAGTACAAAGTTGTACTAAGCTTAAGACAGTTATTTTGGGACGGAGGGAGTATTTTCTAACAGAGCAAGGTTGAAACCTGAGAATTTTTTGGTTGCTTCTGCTTTCCTGACTGCGCCGCTTGGAAGCTAACTCCGGCTGCAGAAGAGAGCGTCTTCGAGTCAGGATTCTGTGCCGATTGCTCATCTGCAGAGCGAATACAAATAGTGTTATAGCAAGGCTTTGCCATGTTTAAGAAAGATTGCTGATTAAAAGCTCATTTTATGTGTACTTCGCTGATTTGATTGACCAACCTTTTATAACTCGCAAAGTTTTTGCATCTCCTCGTCCTGTCTGATAAAAAGAAAAAAGCGAAACAGACAGTCAGCCCCAGACAGAAAGGAACAATTGCGTCCTGAGTAAACAACCACTATATAGTACTATCCGACCCCAATACCACTACATAATATATGACTAATCACTCACCCTCAGTGTCTTCATTAACTCTTCATCAATTGTTTTTGTCTCTTCTAATTGTGGCCTGAAAGATTAGAGAATGTGCTTGGTAATGTAGTAAACTGTAACATACCAGGTGAAGAAATTTTGAGAGATATTATTACTAGCAGTAGCAGCTCAAATCAAGGAGAAGAGAAGTGGTACTTTTGTGCAGGTGGCTTTTTTGGCTTGCGCGACGGCACTTTCGGCTTGAACTTGAGCTTCTGTGGCTATTTAATGAATTTAACAACAAGAAAACACCTATCAGTAAAATATTAATCGTGTCCAACTCAGTATTAGCCATTAGAAAGAACAAAGAATCCTAGAACCCACCTTGCTAGGAGGACGACGGCCTCTCTTGGAGGTACCCGCTGCGTCCATTTTCTGCTTTCCCCCTGTGATAAAAACATGTGGATTTGCTCAGTGTAGCCATAGGTTACCATTTTTTTTAGAGAACATCATTTGCTCTCCTGACTGTCCCTCAACTTCAGTGCTCTGCTGCCGGGGCTCTCTGTTCTCCCTACACTGCACCACACAGCTAGAATTCTGGCAACAGAAATGCAGACGAGCAAAGCCCCAGATTCACAGGCGCGGCCAAGGGCTACCAGAATCACAGGAACAAGCCGTTCCCCTGGCAGAGAACTGACAAAATTGGAGGCAGGTCAGGCAGAGAGAATGGGGGAAAGCCAGACCCCCAAAATCCTCGAGCGCTGACCTAGCAAACTGGTAATCAGAATCAAGCAAGCAAGCAAAGCAAGAACCAGAAATCCTAGGAGCACGGGGATCTCGTCTAGCTAGCTCTTCTTCTCTGCACCCCATGGATTCCTCCTACTCGGCCTACAGTGAGCTCGTAGGGCAGGCGGCCAAGAAATCGGGCAAGCGGAATTCGCAGCTCCCAGAGCATAATCCTCCTCAAAATCCCTAGCTCAGAGGCGCGCACATACGTACCTACTGCCGGGAAGGAGGGACAGGAGCTCGAGCTCGAGCTCTTCGTCTCCGGAGAAACGGTCGCCGCTCGCTCGCTCCGGAGCTGCAGCAGCCGTTCTTCTTCTCGATACTGCAGCTGGAGCTGATGCTGGAGACGTTTAGGAGGGAAAGCTGGTGAAACATTTTTACAGTAGGCAGCGCGGACCCGCGTTCCAGCGACCCGTGGACCGAGGAGCCGGTGCACCCAGCGAGGCGGGAGAAGGTTAGCGGGAGGATCGGGTGAGACGGTCGCTCCAGGGAAGACGGTGCGCGACGGGCTGCAGGGACACACGGCTTCGCAGAGAGGACACGTGTCCACTCGCGACGTGAGCCGCACTGGAGCCGGTGACGTAAGCAGCGCAGAGGATCCGATCCGGTCGCGCGACTGTGCCGGACTTGTCGATGTGTGAAGTCCGCAGCGAAACGAAAGGAGACTGACGGTGTTTATCCTCCTGGCCGGCCGGCTGGGTGATTGGTTGGTTGGGCTGCCATGTGGGTCCACACAGTGCTGATCTACCTAAATAGGGTTACAGGTAACGAACTGAACTGATAAACTTTAGTTTCTGAAATCTAGGAACTGTTTCAAAAATTGACTGTGTGTGTTCCTATTAGTCTACCACTATTCTTCTGTTTCAAAAGTGTTTCATTGATTCTTGCTGGCTAATGATTGTTTCAATTTGTTATGTGTGAATTTTGTGATGGATCAGTTTGGCCACATCCTAACAGAATATGTAAATCTGATCAATCGATCTGTCCACATCCTTTTACGCTTATTGATTTATTTGGGTAATTCGATTGCAGTTTGCTGTGCATATCAATCTATCTGATTTTTACAGTTAATCACAATAAGTGAAATGTTAACCTCAAGTCTCTTCACTGATTTTAGAGTTTGTTTGTCTATCCAAACAGATTTAGTTCCTGTAGTAACGCCCGAAGTGCCCTCGCAAAAAAAAGTAACGCCCGAAGTGCTTTCAGCCATAGCAATATGCACACACAAGTGCTTGGAAGCAGGCATGTTGATTGATTTTTGGGAGACTAGCGTGCACGAAGAAGCTAGCTAGATATGCTTTCGGCCGTAGCTCACAAATATATTACAACAAATTTTAGGCTATGCATCCAATCAGGAATCTTATAGACTTGAAGAGAAGGCTGGGTGTTGGCTGACATTGTTTTGGTTAGTTCCATTAGGTTAGTTGCATCATTGTCGGACAGGGAGGGGGACGACGAGGACCTGCCCCATGTTCGGTGTGGTGTTTTCACGTTCTGATAGTTTGTCGTTTGGCGCCAGGAAGCCAAGAACAGGTAATTGATGGGCGCTTGAGCACTATTTTTCCTAAATGCATACAGAGCAATCATATATCAGGAGCGAGTAGAACATGATGCAATTGCCAATACCTTCGAAGGATGATGAGCCTTCTAAACATGTGTATTTTTTTTTCATTTGATCCAGTTGCTGGAGCCTTGCTAATGGGTACAATTATCTTTACATGTTTGTTTGAAACATGAAATTACATATTATGACATTTTAAGTTGATGAATTGCGCTGGCTTGTTTTTAGTCAAAGTATATTGGATGATATATATATGACCAAATTAAAGAATCGCTTGCATATAGTGCCTCATAATTTTGTTAATCATATACTCCCTCTGTGCGAAAAAGCTTGTCCCAAGATTGTCCCTCAAATGGATGTATCTAGCACCAAGTTGGTGCTAGATACATCCATTTAAGGGACAAACTTTTTTCGGACGGAGAGAGTATTACATTATTACTTCCAATATTTTCCTGCGTTTACATATACATAGTCATACTTTTTGCAAGTTCTGTAGCATAACTTGCTTGAGCACATACATGGTTTATGAACTGATTGTAACCTCTTTCTTCATTTTGCAGGATAGATGATTGTAACCTATAAGTTCCACTCATGATATATTTGTTTCCAGGAAACTATAAGGTGCTTTTTAAAAATCATTTTATGGCATGTTTTTTATACCATATTGGTATACAGATAAAATGTGAGCTATTCTTATAATGGTAATCAGTTTCCATTAGTGCTCCTGGATTGCAAAGATGTTAACTGCGACACAGTGTACATTGAATTAATTGTTGAAAAAAAAATCTGACAATGACACCGATGATTAAGGCAAAGACTACTTACAACAAGTTGATCACGAAGGTTATTCTATTATTGCTTATGATCCACTGTACCATAGTGTATTTGATTATGCTTTTATTTTTTAGGTGGAAAATATGATTTTCTTGTTTGTTTGCTTGCAGTCTGTAAGACTATTTTTTTGGAAGTAGCTATAACTATTACTGAATTTTTTTCCATGACCAAATTTTATGGCTACCAAAATCTGCGAGGCTAAACACTTGAAACCAATAGCCTAAATTAATGGTTGTCTCTTCATATGAATTCCAGTGAACACTTAAATTTCCTTGTTGGTGCTACATTCTCTAATTATTCATTTGGCAACGCCTTTCTCAAATCTTGCTTTAGCAAACCTGGTTCAAGTATTTTTTAACTTCTTGTTGCTTTCATGTTTTTTAGTAAACCGATTGATTCCTTTCCACTCAAGATGCATGGATGTCTAATAGTAATAGGCAGTGGAGTTGTTTAATCATTAATTGTTGCAATGCTTGCATTTGTATGAAGAACTTTGAAAATCAAATACTGCACCCCTCTACTATGAAGTGCTTCAATGTACATTTCTAGAAGAAAACCCGCATAAATCAGAAAGTAGTGAATGATATCAACCAAACCTGTGCAACTTCAGAATACATACCCCTTCATATTGTAAAGCACAACTGCACATAAGCTACGGTCAAGTTCTCTTTATAGTTTATAGCACAGAAGATAATTTTTTGTATTGATTACCAAAAAAAGAAGACCAGATTAGCTTGTAGTGTGGATGCTAAGGCATTCATACATCGTATTGTCTGGCTAAGTCTAAGTTTAGCTAGCAAAATTGGTAAATACTCCCTCCGTAAAGAAATATAAAAGCGTTTACATCACTACTTTAGTGATCTAAATGCTCTTATATTTTTTATAGAGGGAGTACAACATAATGCATGTAGTTTAAATTCTGCATTTATGGGGGCTTCTCTATCAAAATAAATTCTACTCCCTCCGTTCCTAAATGTAAGTTTTTTTAGAGATTCCACTACAAACTACATATGAATGTATATAGACATATTTTAGAGTGTAGATTCACTCATTTTGCTCCGTATGTAGTCCATAATGGAATATCTAAAAAGACTTATATTTACGAACCGAGAGAGTACATTTAAGCAACCATTAACAATGCTGGTGGCTACTGCCGCGAAACATACAAGCTAAGAGCATCTACAGCCGGGCGCCCTATATCCGTCTCAAACACCCGAGCAGGCCGACAGGTCACAGAACACCGACCCAACCAGAGCTCTTAAACGGGCCTCAAATGGCCGGGTTGACCAGCACCCCTCATATCCGTCCCGAATGTAGGGCGGATATGAGGCAACCCGAGCACACCCGGATGCGTTCGCCACGTCAGCCTAGCCCACCGCTGGCCCACCCTGACCCCACAAAATCCCTTGTCCGGAAGAAACCCCAGCTCACTCCACTCCCCTCCGCTCCCCGACGCTCCCATTTCCCCTTTACGTCCAATCCCTAGCGCAGGCGAGCATGTCCAGCACCAGCTGCCACTCCGACGGTAGCTCCGGAGACGAGGAGGAGCTAGCACTCCGTATTGCACTTGAGCGCTCATGGGTAGATATAGGCGACAACTTCGGGTCAGGTGCGGCGCCACCTGTCGCCTGTTGCCGCAGCGCCGACGCCTGCCCTTCCCGCCCTGCACGCGGATCTGCGAGGCCTGCATGGTCTGCTCCTCCCGCTCGACGACCTCCTCCACCCCCAGTCGCTGCTCCGCGTGGGCAGCGGTGGGTTCTAGTTCCCACTCTGCCGACACCGCGGATGTGGACTCCGGAGTCGGAGGCACGTGCCGCCCACCGTGAGAGGCAGATGGCAAGGGAGATGGAGGGCGGGTCCGACGCGGCTGCGTGGTCTGCTTGCCGCCACCACGTGATGCTGATGCCCAACGATGAGGACTGTCTGCATGAGTGGGTGTGTCGTCGATCACTTACTGAGGCGGAGACGAAGGTCCGACAGCTCCGGAGGATCAACGCCAAGCAGCTCAGGCTCGACATTGAGCAATCCGTGCAGGAGGCGGCGAGGGTGGCCAAGCTCAAGCGCAAGCAAGACCGCACCGTCCAGCACTCGCAAGGCTACACCATCATCTCCGATTCGTCCTCCTACGACGGGTCCGACGGCTCCGACGTGGACTCACCTCCTACCGCAGACTCCTACAGCTGTGCCAGCGATCGGAAGGGCAAAGGGCCGACGAGGAAGTGGTGTAGTGTCACGCCCAATATGCGACCCT